AATGTCACAATAAATATAAAATATCAACATATCACAAGGGTGCGGTACCGCCACCATGTACGTACACATGCATGTTCGCTGCTGGTGCTTGTGGGTGGGTGGATTTTTTTTTTTGCCCCCTCGAAAAGGTTCGTGCTGATGTGAGGTTACAAATCCACTTGCAGCTACCTGCTCATGTGGGAAAAAAAATAATTCATCTCATCGTAAACGTGGAAGTTAGATGATTAAGTTATATAACATTAAAAAAATAGTTAAGTTAGTTTATTTATAAATATATGTTAATTTTTCTGAAATATCATTCTTAATTATTTGCATTGAAAAATACCCCTTCCCTATAGCTGGAAATCACCATTTAATATGCGTAATCAATAAGGAGATTTTTTTTTTTAAAAAATCTAAATTTAGAAAACAAAATAGATGGCGTTTTACATTTAAGACTTAAAAAATCAACTAGTTACTATAATTAGGACCGGAAGTGTAGTTCGAATTTTAGTCTCAACAATGTAAGAACATTTTTTCCTTTTAGTTATAATTTTAAAAAGTAATATACTTTTTTGTCGTGGAATAGTGCGGATTCTAATTATAATCTGCAGATAATTCACCAATTAAGTGAAGTCAACTTCCAAACTGTGAAAAGTCAGTTTATATTATCACTTCTTAGAAAAACAAACCCAAATGTAGATAGCGCTGATAACGTGATATATCGAGAAGATATTTAAATAAATGGAAAGTGATTTTTTAATGTATGAGGCCAAGCATTTGGGCTTTGTGGGAAGTTTGCCGCCTGAGACAACGATATCTCTAGTTTGATGAAACTTGTGAGGTCCAAAGTTCCAACTTCCAATCAAGTATCAGCTTGTCTTCCTCACGTCGTGGCAAGCAGCACAATGTTCGAATCTTTGTTAGCAGAGACACTTGCATCTAGTATTTGATAGTATTTTGAATAAAATTATCTTCAATAAAAAAATATTTATAAGTAAAAAAAAAAAACTTGCCTTTCCAGTTCCATGTATGATTTAGTGTCAACTAAGGCTGTTCAGAATAGCCCGAAATTCAATCAACCCGATTTGACCTGAGGTTGTTTGGTCCAACTTGGTCTAAAAAAAATTAGCCAAAAAATATATAAGATAGACTGGGCCACACTAAATTAACGGGTATTAAACTAGGTTCAAGACCAACTATCCAGACTAAATGGTCCAAGCTAGCCTAATATTCATTGTTTTATTTTGTAAATAACGTCTCCAAACAAGGCCTTACTTAGAGTTGGAAATAGAGATCAGGTCTGAAGGTCAGGCTTGGAGACCTTATTTAAATAAGGGTGCGAGTTTTGAAAATAAATTTTTTTAAAGTAACTGAATTTGAGAGCCTAGCCTTAATAAGTGCTGTAAAAAAGGGTTTGAATCCGAGCAGCCCTTTAAGCCTTATTATATCATTGTTAATTTTTTTTTGGTGAAACACACGTTTGAAGCTAAGGACATGCTCGTTTGAAGCCTTGATCCTACACATATTATATTATTATTAATTTATTCTAAAATTAATTTAATATAATTTAATAAATATTAGTGTACAGTATAAAATTTTTTATATTTTTTATTTTTCTATAATTATTATGTTTATGTATTTATAAAAAATAAACTATTTTTTAGTTAAGATTTGAATTTTATTACTAGACTTTTAAATGTGTGTTGTTTAATTTCTAAAAAAATATAAGGATTTTAATTTTAGAATATTTTAATCAATTTGTAGTGCTTAATTTTATTTTAATTTTTCTAAATTTTTTTAGAACAGGGCTTACGGGTTTGGCCCTGCGCCCTTTAAATAAGGGTCGAGTTTTAAAAAAGGGGTGAAAAATGAAAAATTGGTATTAAATGCTCAGGCCTTTAAGGGCTATGCCCACCTATTTCCCAACTCTATTACTGTCTTCCCTATATTTAACTTTTCACACTTTGATTCTCAATTAAACTCTCATCTTTTACCTTTCCCCTTTTATCCTCTAACCCCCCATCGCACTAAGTTGAAGAGCCACTATGGGGGATTGTTGTTGTCGTCATTGAGTCACTGTGTGGAATATAAATTTATTGTGCTGGCGAAGCTAATTGTTAATCATTAACGTGAGGAACTAAACAATGGAGAGATGGTGGGGTTTTACTCTCATCCAAATCTAGTGATCTCGCCCATGATTCTCGAAGTCGCTCGTAGATGTTGTTGTCAATTAGTAATTTTTCTTCCTTATCGTCAATTTATGTTTGTTCATCCTCCTCGTGTGTGCTTTGTCTTCCTCTCTCATTTTTATCTATCGTTGGGTGCTCGGTGCTCCTTCTTCCTCCATTTGTGTTCATTTTATAGTGGGTTTGTCATGTGTTGAAAGGTTTGAAGTGAGACCCATTGGCTTTTTTGAATTGCTATTTGTTTCTAGTCCCATTAATGAAATTGACTTGCTTGTAGAACTATATTGGTGTGGTTTTTTTTTTAGGATAACTAGTTTGATGAGTTGCTTTTTTCATGAATTTGATTGCACAACAAGTATATGGGTAAATGGTTCTTCACTTCATCTTTTCATGTGAAAAAAATAGCATGGTTTGGGAAAATGGTCTCCCAACATAGAGACTAAACCTAACATAGTCTAGTATTGGTTTGCTTTGGACCAAACTAGACCTTAGATTGTAAGGTTTAGCCTGAAAATATTTTAGATTGGAACTCGAGTTGATGCACACCTTGATCTGGTCTAGTTTTTGTGCAATCATATTGTCAACTCGTGTCAAACTATGTTAATCACATTTTCAACTTGTTTCATTTCTTTCCATAAACCTAAATTTTGCTTTCATACATCTTGTGATTCTTATCCGGTTGTCTTCTTGTGCCATTGACAAATATGATTATTCCTACACGTTGCTGGACATTTTGTCTTGGCGTCCTTTTCTATCACTCATTCAATACCGAAAATTAGACTATCAACAAATCTTATAAGTTTTGGTAATGATTCGTTGTATGAATATCTCTTTATCTTTCATTATTCTTCTTACTTTGTTTAGATGAACAAAAAATAAAGATGATGAAAAATTAGGAGGGAAAACTCATAAAAATATAATGAGAAGTTTTTCTTTATAATTTTCTTTCATCTTTATTTTCTTTTTATTTTTTCCTTCATA